CTTGACCGAAAATTCCAGAAAAGTTGCAGATAATACTCGTCCAAGGAAGACTTTCAGGCACCAGGAAAGATGAACAGAAACTATCAGAAACTGTCAGCCAACTCTCAAAAACTGTCACTAATAATTTATATTTTCATATAAACATATAAATTTACATGAAAATGCATGCCATTTTTACAGGCACGATCAATTATGATATAATCTCAAATCGTAGATTGTCTACAAGTGATCAGCGTGTAGCCCACTTATCAACAGATGTTAAAGTTAAACTGGAGCTAATAATAAAAGACAGCAGATGAGTTTTATACGCCGGGGAGGCGACTGCTGAGAATGAAATGCACACGGAGCTAAGGATTAGCTGTGGTCCCACACGCCGGCGAGCGAGAGTGTAGACGACTGAGGCTTGCATACGTCACCGTTACTAGAACTGAGTCAGAATGAGTGACAAGCGACCACAGTGGTAATTGGTAGTGAATAGATAAGACGATATGTGAAGAGTACAATGAGGTGCTTCTATGGTCACGTTGCTTTCTGCAAGAGTCATTCTAGCAAGTGGCGATTGTGTTGCAAGATAAATAAATAAATTTATTCTCATTGTACAGTATACGAGGGACGACAGTTTACAAGCTTCATCAAACTGTTACAGAAATAGAGCCATATTATTGAGTCACAATTTACAGGCGGTAGCAGGATGTTATACATGTACGCCGGAGATTATACATACACCTATTTTTTTATTTATTTTCATTCCTTCACGTTCCCCAGTGGAACGTAGGGCCTCAAGCTAGTGGCTTGAAGATTCTGTAGCAGTGTTTATTTTACAGGATGGGGTTGCTAGCCTCATGACCAACCTTTCCTCTTTACCAGCATTATTTCTGACTCAGCGAGGTAAAGAAGTGCGTCTGTGGCCGGAAATCGAACCCCGCACCCTGTGCATGGTCGGCTAGCGTCGTAACCGCTATGTCACCGACGCACTTTTGTCTGCAGTACACTCGACTTCGAGAGAGAGAATAGAGAGCACAATATTAGACACTTTCCTTCCACAAAGAAGAAATGTTGCTCCTTGAGAGTTGTTGTTTTTATTAGCTGGTGTCTCCATCAAATGACTTAGACATCTCCAACCCATGTAACGAACACACTTCACTGGGATTCCCATTAGCCGATTCCTTGGGAATCTGCAACTAAGGTACACTGCATAATTTTGCAAAGTGAAGTGGAAGGCTTTAAACTGGTAGTCCATTACTTATCCAAAGAAATGCAATTTGAGGTCATGAATACCACGGATATCGGCTTTCGAAGCACCCTTATACTTAGACAGTATTACAAATAAAACACAAAGGTTGAAAGGGGGGAAAATAATTGAAATCTTACATACACCTGATAAATGTTAATCTCAATAGTATAAAACGTCCTTTTCACTTATGTACAATCATTTCTGTGCATAGTTGGAAAAATCTGCTAGATTCTCATTGAGTGCAACACATCAGGAAATACAGAGTTATTGTCTTTGCATTAACAAAAAACTAGGTCTTTGGTGGATGGATTATAAGTGCCTGGGAAAAAAACAAAGCTTGAAGTCAATTTTCGTACATAATTTTGTTGTGTACAGAATCCTTGAATTATAGTTCATTGATGTGTTATTTTGAAATCAGTGATATGTTTATCTCATTTGATCTGCAATTTCATTGTTGGGAGTAAAATACATAAGCTTTGGGCGCATTGATTAATGGATTTCTACTGCTTGTGGGTATTTACTTCTCGTGAGGAAGGTTTATGAATTTCGGCTGTTCCGACAGGAGTTGTGAATATTAACTGCTCAGCAACATCATGGATATAAGTTCCCCACATTATCTTAGGAAAGTTGGGTTGTAGTTGGTGAGGTATATATGATGTCCGACGAGCGTACATCTGTCCATGTGATGTTGTGGTGAGTTATATCTTTTTCATGTTGTCGGTTTATGTCCATTTTATTCCACTTATTGTGTTGGGTAGAAGTTTTACAAACGAAACTTCTTGTCTGTTTGAGGGTAAGTATCTTAATCGTTAATGTTTTATCTAAAATTATAAATATAGGCAAAAACAACAGGTGTAGTATTTAAGCTTATACATTAAATGAACCTATAATTTCGGACTCTCTCAACCAGAACTACTATCATTTGCAAACTCTTGTAGTCTGCCGTTAAGCACTTTTTTGAAGGAGGCCAATGTACCTGCTTGACGCATTTCCATTGGTAGTTTATTCCATATCTGAGCATACCTAATCAGGTGAAACTTTTGCCTGGTGGCTGTTTTACATTGTTCGATGGCTACTGTACCCTTAGTGTGTCTTAGTTTGTAGCCACTGTCATCTGAAAGTCGAATGCCATTAGTAGAGGTAAAAACTAAGTGGTTTAGAAGCTTATAGTAAAGTGTTAAGTTTAGTCTCAGGCGTCTTAGCCATAGTGTTTCCAGTCCTATGGGTATCACATCTAGTGGAGTAGTTCGCACCATTTTCGGTTCCGAGTAATTTTGACGTGAAGTACCTCTGCACTCCCTCGACTTTCAGTTTTTCCTCTATGCGTATACTACTATACATGAATGAACAGTAATCAAATAAAGGACGCACACAAACCTTGTAAAAGTTCCTGAGTAGAAAGCCGATAAGTCTGCGTGACTTTAACACTTGTTTGGAGATATGTTCAGAAAATGATAAGTCATGTGAGTATTTCGGTCCTAGGTCCAATACAGATTCCAGTCGTAACAGTGTATGGACTTGAATTGTCAGGTCAAGTTCTAAATTGTTGCAACCTATGCAGAGCCAGCCACATTTTTCGACATTAAACTGGAGTTTCCAGGTGTCACACCATCTATACATTTTTTCTAATTCATGCTGTATGGCGTTTACTGTTATTCTGAGATCTGTATTCTTGCATTTATAAGTCACCTTTGAGTCATCTGCATATAGTATTGGTTTACCAACACTAAAGCATTCACAGATACTGTTTATATATATTATGAATAGGAGTGGGCCTAATACACTTCCCTGGATTACACGAAAACTTACCGGTTTACGCTTTGAGATTATTGAGCCAACTTTCGTTATCTGACTTCGGCCACAGAGAAATGATTTTATCCAGCTCAGGAGAGGGTCACATATCCCTAGTGAGCATAACCTGCTGACTAGCAGATTATGGGGAACCCTATAAAAGGCTTTTGTAATATTGAAATATGGCGCAATTACTAGTTCTCTGTTGTCCCTGCTTCGTGTAACTTCATTGAAAAAGTCTATGTGACAGGTCACACATGATCTCTTTTTCAGGAATTCGTGTTATGATGGATTAATAGGTTCATGTTCTAGTAAGTTGTCTGACACTTGGTCTTTAACCACTTTCTCCATTATTCGTGATATTACCGGTGTTATATTAATAGGTCTATAGTTGCATGCACTGGTTTTGGCCCCTGCTTTGTGCTTAGGTAATATGTATGTGGTTTTCCACACTTCATGATAAGTTCCAGTTTCCAGTAAGAGAGTAAATATTCTAAGTAATAAGACTACCATTTCCGTGCTACCGATTTTGCATATGACAGATGGTATGTTGTCTGTTCCAATACTACCATTTGACCTCAATGTCTTAATCGCTAAGTCTATATTTTGTATATTAAAGTCTATTTCTCCTAATTTGTGGTTACTTTTGCAGGTAATTTGGAAATTTGGGGTTGGGTGCACTCTGGTGTCATTGCAAAACCACTCACTGAGGAGTTCACTTATAACCTGGGGATCGTTGTATATTATACCCTTATATTCCAAGATGCTTACATTATTGTCTTTACTGCTTTTTATAATATCATTGTTAGGTCATCTTCGATGAGTGAGATTGTACTGTGGGTATGCCTGTGGTGTGTTGGCTTTGCTAATTTTTTTCCATTTCAGCTTTTTCCGTGTGACCCAGGTTCTCGCACTGGCATCGAAGTCATCGTGTATTGGTCGTGATGGGAAAAAGGGATGGATCCCTTTTCGCTGGGGGAGTATCAATGTAGTTGAAGATTGAATGATCAATTCATGGTTGTTTGCTGAAACCCAACTTCCCTATATTTTCGCGGGAGTCATCAACCATCAGTCATCGTCTCATCGTTCGCTGTTCGGTGGAAGAGAGAAAACTATCAGAAATATTGTCGTGATTTATTGTTATAACATTTATTCTTAGACCTTGTGTATGATAACCTTATTGTCGGTCACATCTTGACGTAAGAATAAAGGATTCTCAAGTTGCCAACCTGTGTTCTGGTTTTTCGCGTTGGTTATTACATATTGTTTCCGAAAGTCTTCGAGGGACAGCGTGAGGTCTAGTGTAGTCAGACCTGTATAGTGACAAATGATCTTGAGCTACGAAACACTTGGCTCTGTTCTCTGCAGACGCAATTATGGATTCTCCTTACCTTTTGCGTTGCAAATTAGCTTCACATCTTGTTTTTGATTACTGTTTTGAGAACGGACTGTTAGGAATGTCGGAAAATTTTCAATGTTGAGGTGTCATGCGTATACAAAAATACACTGGTGGCATTGGTGTTTTTGTTTACAGGTGCGGTGTATGCCGAAGCTGAAAATAATTTCGAGAAGGTGTCGTTCTTTTTTAGTTTACAGATTCCTTAAGTACTTTTTCCGCATCGAGATACATTGAGGTGATTGCTAATCGCAGCACAGATATATTATTGCCTATTATCCAGCGCTTAGTGCTGCCTTGGACGACTATTCATACAGACGAATGGAGTAGTTACAGTCAGTTATCAAATCTGGTCTATATGCATCAAGCCGTCATATATGCAAATGGTTTCATCAATCCTTCGCCAGCATGAGTATCAAGACTCCTATGAGGAACTGGGAGGCTTTTTGGAACATATACGAGAATGTTATCCTTTGTAACTATTTTTTAACATTTTATTACTTACATTTAAAAGGTTTATTAAAATCATGCGCTGATTTTGAGACCTCTGATTGTCCAAAGTTGTCCTTGTCAAGGTCATTTGTTCGTTCGCTAGGTAGTTTCGGTTCTGGCTACAATAGTTCAGAGTTACCAATAAATGGAGGATAAAGGAAAATTTTTTGACGAGACAAAACACTTATAAGTAAGAATCTTTCTCCACCGTCTCCTTTGTCCGATTTCACGAAAAGATGTTAATTATCGACCTTGACAATATTTGACATCTGAAGGTCAGTGTAGACTGGTTAATACATACATTTATCTATATGTACTAATTAAGGATACATTGAATTTTTAGAAACTGCGGTTAAATTTTTTTCGCATAGTAATCAAAAATGCATACATCCTATTTTGGACTTAAAATAAATGCTTTGAAATTATTGTTGATTTATATTCACTTACTAGACATTTTCATACATCTTGATGTTCTTTAAACACCACCAATGCATTCAATTAGCGTGTGACTATCACACTACACTCATACCACTCATGCCGACAGTCAATCAAAATCTGCCTATATCTATAGAAAAAATAATTTCTTACTCTGCTGGGCTTATGCAATTAATAATTGAGTAATATATTTTAGAGAACCGTAAAAACCCATGCTTGGTAGACAAAAGTTTTTCTAAGTAATACACAGATATTAATTCATTATATATATATATAATTTGTGTCACTCCAGCCCTTGATAATTATTAAGCTTCGGAAAAGATGGTTACTAATGGCTGATATATAAGAAATGTATGAAAATTTTTCATTGGGGAAATACTGTTCACCTCTGCAAACTAACTGAAAACCGTTTAATAAGGGTTTAGTAGACCCAGATAACAAGTTTTCGAGACATGTTTTATTTTTTTTGATTACAGCTTGATTCCACATCGTATTAGTGGTAAAAGTGTGTTATTTTCAGCATGTGATATTAGCAGCTCAAATTTAGCAAGCCAACAATTTCATATTAGGTGTGCTTCAGCTGGGGATTGAACCCCGGACCATGTGCATGGTCGGCGAGTTTTAACCGCTGTGCCACCGACATATGTGAGTTTGTGGGGACACCACAATTTTGAAACATCTGGAGAAGTTTCTACATTCCTCACCTGCAGGTGAGGTTCCATGGCTTTCTCCAAAATTATGAGCACCAGATATTACCCGGGCCCGAAAAATCCCCTCGCATGTCTCCTATTAACTCTGAAATTTCCTCACTAAAATGCAAATTCACTTAAGACCCTCTCTCAAATATACCAATTTTCCATGGAGAAAGATGTCTTCATACTTTCGACGACGTTCAGAGCAAACTGAAAAATAAAGGATGCATGTATTATATATCGATCATATTTAGATATGATAGAGAAGATTTGTAGCTCAGGTGGATGATTTTGATGTGGTTGTGTTCTCTGAGCTGGATGGCTAATTTGCAAAGCTTTCATCACCTACTGGTTGACATCTTCAGCGCATACTTCAATTTGAAGTGAGCTTTTAGATTTCTCCACGAGTTTATTAATCATCTCTCCTGGTGACGTTGGACGTGATTGGCTGTCTTTGTATGTTTTCATACCTTCTAGGCTACTTGTATTGGAACTGAATGTTTCTTTGACTTGAACTTTGATCCTTTGTGTGTGAAGTTTCTTTCTTATCGGTTGATAAATTTTGTCTATCTCTATGTGTCTAGTGATTGATGATTCACTGGAATGCCAAGCTTCTAAAAATTCTCTAGCATGCTTGTTGTTTCCTCTGTCTAATATTTGAACGTTGTCCCAGTCGAATTGATGTCCGTGGTTGTCTGTGTTTTGATATTCATATGCAATATACACTACGTAGTGTTGATTTTAAAGCCGTTAGATACCGTGAATAAAATATTAGTGGAAAATTATGTTAGAAATCAGATTAAATGAATTATAAGACCCCTGATATAAATTGATGAATAATACAAGTTCAGATTTAATAAGAATACAGCTTGTTACTTTCATAATATGCAACATGTCGTATACCTGAGATCTGATACAATTTCTTATCATGTCTCTTATGTTATGAAGATAATCCCGCTTGGTAATATCTAGAGACTTCTTGAAATGCGCGTCTTTCTAGAATAGTATTAATCTTATTAGCGATAAATTTGATTAATTATCCTTGCGCAGTTAAACTATGACAGTCACTTAAATCAACCTTACCACTAACCTTGTGCAACTAATCACAATTAAGGTTGAATAGACGCCCTAAAATTGCTAAAAAGAGTGATAAGCATTATGTTGTTCTGAAATTTATTCATACTCCTGAATTTATTCTTTAATCTTCTCCTAAAAGACTAGTTATCATCTCAGTCTCCTTCCTCATATATATATGTTTAAGTAACGCTGGTGAGTTCTCTATTCATATAGTATTCAGTCAATCGATTCTTCTGGAACTCATTAACGGAATTTAGAATGGAACGTACAGTTTGGTTTGACCATACAACTTATGTGTTTAATTGTTGAGGGCCGTGTACTGCCTGGCTGTCGGAATTAAACTTCTACAATATCCTTATTGGACTTAATATGAATGAAGTATGCACATTTGATATTTTTGTAGTTGATTATATCTTGAAAACGCAAGTGTGGCTATTAACTCAAGAAATCATCAGTGTACAATAATGCTGAACATTGCTTTGCAACGTACAATAACGCTGTTAAAATGAGAAAATGCTTTGTACACTGTAAGACTCTCTCCTTGTGTAATGCGTATAATTTTGAAAAATAACACTCGGAAATGCGTTGAATTATTTGGACTCGAATATTGTCTCTATTTTGACTGAACATAAAAAGGCATTGTTTCGATATTGATCTTAGATGGTTGGAGGCAATCGGCAGGAATCTTTGGACCTAGGTTTCGTGCTAGTTGGCACTCGTCAGCAAGGCATATCTGCAACCTTGAAGGAACTCATGTCCCTTCTGAGATTCGAACCCGCCTCACCAAGTGCTGCACTCAGAGATGTTATTTTTGAGATGTTCGGGCTCGCGCTTGAACTCCTGTAGGACTGTATTGGATAGACTGATAGAATTCAGTCTGCACCGAACAGAGGACTAGACACATTACACTAGTTACCAAGTAGTGTCCAATCTGCATTGATCTGTTAGAAAGTTGGCATTGAATGAACATGTGAGGATTTATTCTTTTTGATTGTTGATTTGCTATGTTCAGCATCATTCATTTTTAATTCGGGTGTTGACTAGCCGACAGGGATGGTAAAATTAATGGGTGTTAACCTAGACCGGAGCGTTATTTTGATGTATCGTTTAAAGACCTATGTTCAGATATAAAAAAGTTGTTAAAGTGCTGATGAATAATTATGTAGAATTTTACTCGTTGAACTACATAGCTTGGAGAATTGATCAGTCACGATCATAACACAACATAAGTACTAAAGTTTAACATCAGAGTACAGTCGAATAATTCATGACATTAACTCAAGCGATGTCCCTAAGTGCCTACTTATTGTAAGAGTAGTATGACATCCAAGATTCCTTTGTTGGTTCCATTCTAAGCTTTCAGAATCGTAGAGTAAAATGTAAAAGACAATTGTTATATTGTATGATATTATCAGTGTTTTGGTGTCAACAATCTAGTAAATATTTAACTGTCATGTATGTTGTTCCCACAAGAATCTTGCTTTTTTATTCTGTTCAAGGAGTGTAACATGCTTTCATTTTATAATATGGATAAGTTCTTCATTTGTGATGTTTTTCACTACTTGGTACTGTTTAGATAATGTGACTTACATCATAATTATCTTTAGCTTTCCATTGTTATTGATGTTAAACAGTTTTTGTATGTAGATTACATCAATAAATATCGCAGCAACCTTGAAGCAAGGAACACTGACTGCAGATTAATAATTCAAATTAAAGTTCTATAACACTAAAACCAAATGCAGAAGTAGTAACTTCATTTTAAAATCCACGTCTATATCGTTTCTATGTGACTCATCGGTATAACAGTTGACTAGTGAAGTAATAAAAGTCAAAATTTATATCAACAGTTATGATTTGATTTCAACGTATTAGTGAAAACTTGAAAGATTAAAACTAGGGCTCAAATAACACTTTACAGCTGAAATAATCTTCCTGGTCTATAGGTATTCTTTAAAAAAAAACTAACTTGACAGTCTTTTGAAATTATGTGGGCGAGAAACACCTTGTTTTAGGTGGCATGATAGGTGTGCATAATAGTCTGATAATTAGATTGCTTAGATTGTTTACATGCACGCCCTTACTGGCGTTGTATCTTTAAAAATCTAATATACATTTTGAATAAATACCGACTTTTATGTATCACTGTTGACTGATAACTAATTAAGTTAGGATCAACTGCAGTATTCACTTAGCATTGTTCCCCATCTTTTCCACCTGAAGTATTTTCTCCTTCCAGTTTTTTAGAGCAAAAATATTAGGAGTTATGCCTTATGAGTGCTTCTGTGTCTGATCACACTTATTTAATTTAGAAATTCTTTTGATTTATAGTTGGAACCGATATGTCCAGGCCCATCTCCGTTGTAATAGTTGAGGGTCATAATGAAGTAAGTTATTATAAAACATATTCAAGGTTATGAATTATATATATCGTGCTATTGGGAGCAAAACAATTCCCTTCTCAGGTCTGAAGCTGTTGCATTTCGATTCTCATCCTGATTTGGGAATTCCTGATGTTGACTGCTCAGAAATCTTGAGAGATCCTCAACAACTTATGAAGTTAGTTGCCTCTTAATACTGTCTTTAAATTTTAGGAAAGTAAGCATAGAAAACTGGATAACACCAATGATCTATGCTGGTCATATAGATCATGTTATTTGGATGCATCCAACATGGTCGAGACAACTTTTAAACAGGAAACCTACGTGCTATTCTATCGGTGAAGATTTGTGTACAAAACGACTTGTGTAAGTTCAGTGTTAGTTGTTTTCCATCTTTTATGTCCATCATTCTGTACAGTTTCAAACAGTTCTTTTAGCTTATCAATATATGTTTAAAAGGTTAGTCGTTAACAGACTGAACTAATAGATAATGTAAAACATCACCGTTGAATTAATCGGTGAACTTTCTTATCCTAACCATAAATGCCTAATGTAACGTCTTAACTTTTTGATTTGTCAAAGAAAAGTTTCTTCTTTCTCTCAAGATGAAGAACAAAATAAGCGTCAAAGCATAGTGCATTGATTCAAGTATAATTTCAATTATTAAAAATCAAAAACAGTAAAACAATGCGGGGCAATAAGACATGCTAACTAAAGATAAATGAAAATATGCTAATACATTCTTCTAGAGTTCTACGGTTTCGGTTGAGTTGTACTATGCGTATATTTAGATATAGGTAAATTACGTAATTATATAAAGTAGCGGGAAAGATCTGTTGAGTTGTCATATTGGAACTATTACTTCCCTTGTAATAATTCTGTAGGACGTGCATTTGCTTCGTGAGATAATTATGGTATTTCGTAGTGACTATCCTTTAGTTAATTCATCACTTCTAATATCTTGGTAAAATCGTACAAGTGTGCCATGTTTCCGTGTATTGTGGTAAACAAGTCAGTGACGATGTAGATTATTACTGTATCTTGCACTGATGACACTTTTTCTAATCTACCTTCACCGACCGAAAGCTGCCACCTTGACGTGGGCTTGAACACCGCAATGACCTAATCAAGCTATAATGGCTGAGACTTATGTCTCTTGAGGTCCTACCATGCCAGGCAGGTTGTTTGGATAGCGGTTAAAACAAAAAGCAACTACCCAATCCACCATTATGATACAAACAAAATTGCAAAATTTCATGCCGGATCGGCCGTGGCCCGGATTAACAACGACCGCGCTTCCTGCTGCCGTGTCACAGGGCAGGAGTGATAAATATGCTACTGAGACAAACCAAACAATAAAGAAGAAACAAAAACAGGCCGCGTGTGACTGACCTCAAGCAGTTGTCCCCTGGGCTCTGCGGTCACGCAACCAACTTCCACGGTGTGGGCAGCCGGGAAGTAACAATCGCCCTCACAATCCGAAACGCACGCGAAACCTCTCTATTACTCACTCATCTTTGTCTTCATCTTCATCTCTATCATCTTGCCTTCCTTCCACTGATGCAACTCCTCTACTTGATAGCTCTTCACTTCCTCTTCACTCTGCGTCCACTAAAAACGACGGAAGCCAGAAAACCACCACCGACAGCCTCCTAAAGCCGCACCACCAATTTCATATAGGAGCATTTAATGTTAAGACACTTTGCCAAATAGGACAACAAGCATCACTAGCCAAGACTCTGGCATCCCGAGCCATTGATGTATGTTGTGTTTCAGAAACACGCATACAAGACCCAAGTGTGGTTATTCACCTAACCCCACCTGGCCAACAGGTTGAATCTGCGAAATTCACCTTGAGGGTGTCAGGAGATACCACAGCTAGTTCACGAGGATTAGCTGGTGTAGGGATAGCTCTGAGTACTAGGGCAGAAAAGACACTGCTTGACTGGATCCCGGTAGATAGCCGAATGTGTGCTGTCCGTCTGAACGGGTCAGTAAAAAGGAGAAAGGACTGCACTACTCGCCGATGCCTTTTCGTAATCTCCGCCTACGCCCCCACTGACTGCAGTTCGGATGAAACAAAGGATGAGTTCTACCAAAAGCTGTCTAGTTTGGTGAGAAAGGCTAAACGCTCAGATATAGTCGTTCTAGCTGGTGACTTTAACGCTCAAGTAGGGAAATTGTGTCAATCTGAGAAGGATGTCGGTGGCACCTATGGAGCTCCGTGCCAGCGAACCGACAACGGTGACCGTCTCCTACAGTTCTGCTCAGATAATCATCTGTTTCTTGTAAGCACTAACTTCAAACACAAGGAGAGACACTGTTTGACCTGGCGACCCCCATCATCAAACCAACGCTGGACACAAATAGACCACATAGCAATAAGCTATTGTTGGCGTGGGTCGGTAGGAAATTGTCGCTCCTTCTGGAACACGTGTGTAGATACCGACCACGCACTGGTCCGGGCTCGTGTGTGCTTACGACTGAACGGACGTAGGAAACAGCTGGCGGTAAAACCATCACGTCCCCAGCTCGATCAGGGAACTAAATCCCTATTTGAGGAAGAACTAGCTAAACACATATCTGAGTTCGACAGCTGTGCTCACCCTGAAGAAGCTTGGAAGAATATTCAGGCAGCCATAGATACAGCTGTAAAAGCTGTGAATAAGGTAAACCCAAAGGTAAGTAAAAACAACTGGATCTCCACCGCCTTATCCGAACTGATAGATGCTAGAAGACTTATCCCGGCGAGCTCCGAATTCAATGAGAAGCGAAAGCTGCACAAAAGGAAACTTACGAAGTCTCCGCAGGGACCGTGAACAGTGGTGGGTAACAAGGGGTTAAGAGATGGAAAAAGCATCAGCGATAGGCAACTCTTTAGAGTCATCAGGGAAACGGGGGGAGAAGGCAAATCATAAGTGAGACTATTTCTGAGCAAAATGGCTCCTTAATTAGCTCTCATGATAGACGCCTCGAACGCTGGAAAGAACACTTTGAGGAACAATTTAACCTGCCTACAGCCACACTGAACCTCCCAGCCATCCAACACACACCCGAATTGGATATAGACACAGGTCCTCCTTCTCTAACTGAGGTTACTAAAGCTGTCACCAATCTGAGACAAGGCGAAGCAGCGGGACCTGATGGAATGACTCCAGAGGTATTTAAGTACGGTGGAGACAGTTTACTGTCTGCATTAACTGAGGTACTAGGCAGCGTGTGGGAATCAGAAGAAGTCCCATCGGGTTGGTGTAAGTCACTGATTATCCCCATATACGAGAAGGGAGACAAGTCTTCCTGTGATAATCACAGAGGGATTAGCTTGTCTAATATAGTATCTAAAGTCTTAGGCTCAATAATCATGCGTAGACTGAGTGGTGCTCGGGAGGCACAAACACGAGAGAGTCAGGCAGGCTTTAGATCAGGAAGAGGGTGTATTGATCATATCTTCACCCTCCAACAGATTCTAGAACATAGGAATTCCTACCGGCGTCCAACAGTCATTATATTTCTTGACCTAAAGGCGGAATTCGACTCTGTCGATCGAGAAGTTCTCTGGAGATGCTTGGCTGTAAAGGGAATGGCGAGAAAATACATTGCACTGATCAAGTCACTTACTCTACTGGAACTCATGAAGCGAGGTGAGGACTTATGGCGAGTTGTCACCTGAAGTGGTGACGACTAGTGGTGTCCCCCAGGGATGCCCACTATCCCCATTTCTATTCAACTTCATCATAGATGTGTTGATGGACTTAACCCTAAATCACTTCAACGACTCAGGATTGACTTGCTACCAGGGTATAATCTCGTTGACTTAGAATATACAGACGATATATTCCTCCTAGGCGACGACGCTGACGAAATGCAGAGTCTTCTAAACACCTTGAGCTGTAATCTACGAATGTTTGGTATGCGATTCGCTCCCGCCAAATGCAAGATGATGTTACAGGACTGGACTACATCGATGCCTAGTTTAAAAATAGGAAGTGAAGTGGTAGAGCACGTTGACCGCTTCACTTATTTGGTAAGTACCATCAGCCAGTGCCAACGGGTTGATCTCTGACGAAATCTCAGCACGGATACAGAGGGCTAGTTTCGCACATGCCAGTTTACGCCGTCTCTGGCGGAGACGAGATATTCAACTATCGACCAATGGCTGGGTGCACTGCTCATCAGTCTGCTCCGTCCTCCTTTATGGCTGTGAGACCTGGCCATTGAGAGTGGAAGACATGAAAAGATTAGCTATCTTTGATTATAGGTGCCTGCGTTCTATCTCCCGTGTGAAGTGGTATATTAAGGTGAGCAATATTGAGGTTAGGCGTCGAGTGCTAGGCAAGGAGGGAAAATCAATCGACGAGGCTGTGAAATTACATCGACTGAGATGGTTAGGACACGTGTTACGCATACCCACCTAGTCATCGCCTTCCTCGACGAGCAATGTTTGAGGATATAGGGTCAGGTTGGAAAAGAGCTAGTGGAGGTCAAACAAAAACATGGAACCAGTCAATGAAATCTACAACAGTTAGTCTAAGCCATGTAGGAAGGTGTAGACTTCCTGGCTGGTTGGGGTCCTCGGGACGGTAAAAATCAATGGTTGGAAACAATTGGTGACATGGCTCAAAATCGTTCTCAATGGCTGGCTGGCGCAGATGGATCCACTCCCTGTGACTTATGATTTCCGATAAAACTGTTTTGTTCTTCGTTACTACTATTCCTTTGTCTCACACCTCTGTTTACTGTCTCTATTAGGCTTTTGTTGTACTTTCTTCTGTTGCTTTGTGTGCTACATGGAGGGAGTGTGGCGACTTGAACTGCGGCACATCGGTGCAAAGTTGTATGTCGAAAATAGACAGACAGACAGGCACACGAACAATCGATTTATTTTCCTTATCCGTCGTTATATGCATAATCTTAGAATCACTCACAAAGAATGTTTTAGAGTAATTAAAAATCTTGGATCTTTGGCTTATAGATCAATAGCTGAGTAGTAACAGGTTCACTGTGTGACTTGACTGTCTCTGGTTCAATTCTTTATCAGCCAGTATGATCGAAAATTCTTGACGAAACTCCTTTCCTAAGTTTCTAATTTTGGTTTTTCTATCTACTGTCATTTCCTGATAAAGTTGACCCTAATTTAATCTAAGTCCCATAAAATCAAATGTAAATATCTTTGTTTGAATCTCTGTAATTTATATATTTTATTTACAACGAGGTCATATATACAGGTTAGGACAGAATAAAATGCTGCGTCGTGTATTATTATGTGATAAGCATTCAACTTCTTGTTGGTAGTAAAAAGTAACTGGAGGTAGCTTTCCATACTTTTTGCATACACTTCAACCTTTCTTCCGCTGACCTGAAGTAGTACGAAGTGTTTATATTTATTATGTTCATATATATTTTTTCTGTTACATGTAATTAGGGGTACGGCTCATTAGATTCACCACTTGGCTTCCAGTCAATGGGTGTCTAGTTCGAGTCCCACTTAGCCTACCTTCAGTCTAGGCGATTGGGTAGTATTTTCACCCCTGACATAATAAGTATGACTCATAACCTCGCACATGAAAAATCTCTTCCAGGTAACTGAGTTTAAACCATTATAATCAGATCTCCAGCTTTCTCGTAATCGCAAATATGTTTTCTTTCTTCTTTCGTTGGGAATTCCGTAAGCAAGTATTAGGTTTTTTTGAGACAATCTCGTTGCTTACACATCGGGAGCTTTACACAAATAAATATGTCTTTATACTTAACTTTTAGAGTGGGTATTCCCGAGTCATATTTTTACAACGATGGTGTATTCTGTATGGAAGAGGATATTAGCTCTCCAGTGAAGTTCGGTCTTACAGTTGCCCCAATTCATGAAACAAATACCCTGTGTCGTGTGTGCACGGATATTATCTGTGTGCTACTAAACCAGTCTTTCATTTTGGATATAGATTTAGATACTTTTTCTACACAAAATCCATTTTCTACCAAGTTCACAGAAGAACAAGTAAGAGATTACGTTTGTATATGTTTCTTTTGTATTTAAATCAAATTTATTTAGTTAACAAGTTATTCTCGATATAATCAGACCCGTAGTAAATCAGTATGAAGTGTTGTGGTGAAAAAGCCATTTCAACACGAGAATCTCCATTATGTATCAGTAAATGTTCAGGTAGTTTCACCATGCTTTGAACCTCTAGCAGTTTCCGTTTAGAAACTATTCATGTGAAAAGGTATATACGTGAATTCTTATAAAACTCAATGGGCTTGTTTGTGCTTTGAAAAGAGGTCACATATTTTATTTCAGAAATACTAATATCACATTTTTAACAGTGTTTGAACTCATGATTCTTTAGTTATGAATCAAACTCTTGAGACAGTCATATAGCTGCTGGTCACTTATACTAAGTTATTATCTTATCTACTTTGAGTAGGATAATCTAGGTAGATAGGAAGTACTCTATCGAGTGCATTATGGTTATTGATGTACTAAACAAGTGCTGCCAATGTAATATATATCTACGAAAAATAAATAATTTTTGATCTAGAATGCCTACAGCAAGAGTTGCTTGGTATCAAATCTCACAGGGAGCCTAGTGCAGCAGGACAGACGGTGTTAGCTAAGAAATCATAGGATATTCATATACTCATCCGAATGCATAAAGGATGGTCGATGAAGCACAAAACAAGGCTTCAGCATTTGTTCTTTGGTTGTTTGTTTCTCAGAAACACAATGAATATTCGTGGGTTAAAATGCAAAGCTTTTGTAGAATCAGTCATCTTGGCATCAGACACTTTAGATTAAGCTCGAACATACGTTTTGTATAACAGAATGCTAGAGTATTAATTGAATGATGTTGCTATATCTCATGATCATATCAATGAGTAATAAATTGTGCTTGAAAATTCATCCGATTATCACACTGTATATTTGTGCTAGTTCAAATAAACTTGTCTAAAATGGAATTATATTCTGTCACACTATCCACATTCTACTCTTATTCAAACATGCGATTTAGTGTGTGATTCATAGAAGAAGATACTCATGTATTCATATGTTTCACAAATATCAACAACTAGAGATAATAAAGAAGTGCTTTTGGACATCCATTCTTCAGTGCATAGATCTTATAAGTGTAATATTGCACATTCTCTACAGTTTTATTTACTGTTACCGTATCTTAATAGGGAAATCCATGTATTTTTCTTCCACCTAAATTTATTCTAATTACAACTGGACCTGGGGGTAGGTAGTAGATTGATGATTGTAATGCATTTCTTAATCACCTCTGTTCTTAAAACATGACAATCGTATCAACTCAATTTTTATGCCGAGAGTCTAACTTTAATACTATCTTTTCAGTAGTCCATCTACACTTGATTAAGGGACAGAAGTAAATCATGGTGAACCAGATTATGGATACATGGCGATAAAAGAATGGAATTCAGATGTGAACTGTTTTGACAATATGACTGTTGGAATTTCGATACTTTTTGCCTGGCTATGCCAAAATAGGATCTCACAATCATTTCCTAAGTTTCCGACAGTATGAATAAGTTTCGATCCCATTCAATCAATAAATTTTGCTTACAGTCACCTTAATTAGGGAAATAAGTAGTGGTAAATTAACAAATAAAATTGTTTCATTATATTCATAAATGTTATTATTCATTTTTAGTTTGAAATTATTGATCGGTTGTATACTCCTCCACCTCCCTTAACACTATGTTTGTCTCCGAAAGATTTGGAAGATCCAGCTGTTATATTAGCTCATGGAATGAGTTGTGCTCATGTTTTGAATGCTGCTCGTAAGCGTCAACTAGCTCGTCTTTCTCAATGGGTTTCTTGTTGGGAGCGCGGGGAAATGCCGTCGTCTGAAAATTTTCTTTTATTCCCCTGTGAACTTGTGGATTTCGCTCGACTGATCCTTTCGCTTACGGACCAGAATTTTGGTCCAGTGGTATTACAAGCAGTCAGAAAAACCTTAGACTGTGCAAAAAAACAAATTGCGCTTAATAAAAATCCACCATTGATTTCACTTGCTTCAGATGATAAAGCCATTCAAGATGCTTTAAGTAAGCTTCATTTTGTCAATTAATGTTACACGTTTGTTTAAAACGTTATGAAAATTGGTCAAAGTTAATAGTCATGTTAGGTCAGTCTGTCTTAAGAAAATTCTAAAAGGGTGGTTTGTTTGTAGACATACAGTTATACACCTTTCTCTTTATTTATTCCTACTTGTTTTTAATGTCAACTGGCATCTATTTAAAAGATAATCAAAACGAAGAAACAATCGAATACTTATTGTTCTTGTTAATTTAATAAATCTTTTTTTGGACAAACCTTTAAACGCTTCTCTTTAAAACCTAGAAGTTTAAATCGTTAGTATGCATATTGATCGAAGAGTTTAGGCCAAGTTGGCGGTCAACACGGACCGTTTTTCTAATGCTTTTCCATTGTCACTGGTTCATAATTTAGGCTCTTTTTCAATAAAAGAAATAAATTAACCTGGGAAACGGTTACTAGCTTAAGTGATACATCATGTGACGTTGCACTGTGAAGGAGAAAAAATTGATGAGGCTCGAAGGCAATGTCTATTACGACAAATGCATTGTAGGAACATAAATATGATATACCTTATCTTTAAGTCCTTATTTGCATATAATTTGTAAATCGGTGGAATATCACCACATTAGATAGCTTGTTGGCTTCTGCACAGTGTTGTAACTTTCTTCTCATTGTTCTTTTTTCGATTACTTTTTCCAGTGCCTCTAATCATACTGCTACTTTTTTGAATTCGTTTACTTATGTACTACTTATATCTGATTATAAGTAACACTTGCCGCAGTACTTTGCAGCGTGTTAATGACTTCTTAGGATTTCTTCATAACAGTCTGGCTCTATGTGAGTCGGTTGGTGGATATTAACCAATATATCTGTGTTAATCAAAATCTACCAACCGGTTGTGCTCTGTGGTCACTTCGCCAAGTCGCGCAATATTACTATACATTGTGGGATGATTTAGACAAATGTTTGCAATAAAGATAGGTTTTATTCATTTAGTGAATAATTTATATTAGGCATGTTTCTTAGATCGGAAACTTTGAGTACAGGTGAATGAGTTATATGGGGAAGTGTATATTGTCTGACTGAGATGCTCACGACTGTAGGAATCAGTGGTTGGAAATTGTTAGTGACATTAGCGTTGGCACGAATTCGGTCACTCCTCGTGATCAGGTTTCACTAATCTTCATTTAATTGTTGTTTCCCCTTTAAGTTTTCGCTTACTGTTATTCCCTTGGGTTCCGAGTTCGGGAGGGCTTAAACTGCACATGCTCATTTCACCCTATTCTCCGAAGTCCTGTTTAGCTGGCTCCACCATTGCTCATAAGCTGTCATCTCCTCGTCACATGATCTCCTTCATGTTACCCATGGACACCCAACTTTCCTTTTCTCATTCGGATGCCCCTCGAGGGTCTGTCTGGCGCGTGATGTCATTCATCGATATCTTAAATATGTGTCCGATTCGCCTCACCTTCCTTCGGCATATATTTTGGGCGATAGGTTCTCAGTTGGTTCGTCACCAGAGTCGGTTGCTGTCAATTCTTTATGACCGTCTGATTTTTAATATGGACGGAAGGCAGCTGCATAGTCGTGGGCGCTCGTATTGTAGAGTAACTCTGAAATAAGGTAACCTTGGATACTGTCTAAAAATTAGTCATTCTCAGTTTTGTCTATCGAAAGCTCACATTAAAGGAAAGAGAACAGAAATTAAACGATACCACAATAAACAAGTATGAGTGCTGAAGAAAATAAGTGAGTTATTAGCGAAATGTTTAAAATTTTATCGATGATAAAGAATGGGCTCTTTTTTTATAGTAAATGATTTCCAGCTATATTATCTGATATCCTGCGCTTTAAATATACAAGCAGTATTTTTGCTCTACTCACTTATGATACCCGAAATGCTACTGGTATTAAAACATATGTAGAATGGTTATTTCAGAGTTGGCAACTTAATTACAGACCACGTTGATAGTACACAAAATCTCTACGGTCTACTAGCTATGAACTCTCGGAATTACTGATAAGAGATCATTGACCAGAGAATTAAATATGGTCGTTTTAGATGATGCGTCATCATCATGCATTGAGTTTGCCATAAGATCTTGAAACGACTAATGTACATATCTGCAAGCTGATTTTTTGTGCATTAATACAACTTAGTAGACAGGCCTTAGTAATTTTTATTCAACTCATTTTTCAGCCGATATTCAAAAATTGTGTCGTTGAGCAATAATTTCGAAATCATATCATCTTCAAATGATTATGAGCAATAAATTGTGCTCAAAACGTCATCAGTAAATATTACTGTATAACACTGTGAGACTTTATCAAAATGAATTTCATCCATAACGGAATTAAAATCATAACAAGTACAGAAGAGTTTAAGCATTTTGATGGCTGGAATTTCTGGTGGCCCAGTGATTTAAGGAGGCCGCTGGATGAGATTTTTTACTTCCCACACAGCGTTAAACATATATATATATAGGGACACCATATAAATACTTCACTAATTTTTTTGCCATCGTAGTTAATAAATATGTGAGGATGGAAATACATTAGCATTGATGAGATATTCTTAGTCATTCATAATCATACACAGTATCTTGTCCATATGTGTTTTACTTTAGGTAAACTAACTAATGAAATGAATACAAACCCAACTGCCAGTCCACCTGAAGATCAGAAGTTTTCTGAAGACAAAAATTCTTCAGTCTTATCAGATTATACCAGTTTTATCCCAATGAAACGTCGCTCCAGTAGTCCATGTGATGCACATACAGATTCAAAATCAAAATTACGCCTATCTGAATCACCTGTAATGACAAATTGTGATGAGTGTCCATCAGAAACTGAAAACCAACGTCAATCTACGAATTGCTCTGTATATTCAATGGAAGTCGACGGTGATTCCTGCAATCGAATTGATCTAAACGAAAATCGTAGTTTAAAAGTAATCCTTACTAAGCTGGAAACAAGTTCAACTACATATAGGTTAAGTAACGGCGAGGATAATCCAAATGTACAGTTAGATGATGACCCATCTATATCAAATGAACAGAATGATCAAAGTTTAAGTTTTATGCATTATATGTGGTCTGGGTGCGCAGATCAAAAAAATAATCCATTACCACATTATGTGAGTTATGCATCTGCTGCATTGTTATTAAGTAGAACATCTATGTTATTAAAACTCTTAAATTCGTGGTATCACCAACTATTTCAACAGAAACTCGTCATTAAACTCAAGCGGAGCAATTTAATAATAATATTAATACTTCTGACAATAATAGTGTACTTGTCATTTTACAACCTAAGCTAATTTCAACGCTTGTAGTTTTCCTCGTTTCGATCGCTTAATATCCTGAAACTAAAGGATGAATCTCATTGATTTGTCTCTTCTGCTGAAGGGGGTTTATTGAATACCACACATGGGTCTTGTTTGTCAACCTCGAAAACTCTAGGTACACCCATGTTATAAGACAGCAGAATTTAACGTAGAAGTTGCATATTAGCTTTTAGTTTTTCCTGTAACTAATCAATAAACGGAATATTGATCTTAAGAAGTATCTATTAGGAGTATTTTTTGAATACTGTAATCATATTTTCTTCGACAGATTAATCAATCAGCTGCGATATTCACTTTAACTACTTGTCTAGTGGACTAGAACATTAAAGAATAAATTTGTAGACGTTTAGTCTTTTTGCCACCCCCCTTCAGTTTGTTAATAGTTTATTTCTTGTTATTTTAAAGGATTACTCACTTTCGAGTGTTGGTCTGTAGAGACTTCACTATTCTCAAGTTTTGTCACGGATCGCTCTCGGTTAGAGAATCACTGAAAACGGAAGAGTTTTGGACACTTGTCTCGTCCCAGTTTTTGAGGGACTCTTCAGTGGCACGCACCCATGACCCCGTCGGGAATCGAACCCAGAAACTGCAGTTTACGAAGCAAGATTGTTGACTGTTTAGTCAGTGGGACGGAGTCTAATGGACCATTAATTCTAAATTATGTATATTCCCTGTTTTTAGCGTCACCACCAACTAGTGTCATGGGTGGGTATTTGTTTCCTTACCTGACCTGGTGATTCCCACTGATTACGACTTCTCACCACAAATCCAGCTAACTGCATATGTATATTCACCAGATAGAAAATGATTGTAAAATCAAGAGTATGAAAAATTCATTTAGAAATCCATATGGGTTTCTATCTGTTACACAACTCTTCGGTATCCAGTGTTTTTATGTAGTTTCTTTCACTTAATAAAACGGTTTATTAGTTTCGATTCATTTCCACTAAGTGTAGTGCAAAATGCCATCTCGATTTATTGAAACTGAATGACTTCATTTTTGTCAGGTAAATTCTTTTTCCTTTTCTCTTGATAACCTTTTGATTGATATGTAACAATCTGGAAAGTCGCACAACAGTGCCGGATTCTACCTATCTGTTATGTTCACACCGACTGGGTTACCTTCTTATTGTTATTGGTGTCGTTGGTTACCTTTAAAGCTTTTCCTTTGTCTAAATAAGTGAATAATATAAACTTTGAAACAATTAATTCCCTATATAAATTTCGACGAAATAGTAAAATGACGTAATTTATCTGAATTGCGCAACACATTTCGAACAATCTGGTCAGACACGGTCATCAGTCCGCTTCGTCCTCCTTTATGGCTGTGAGACATGGCCATTGAGAGTGGAAGACATGAAAAGATTAGCTGTCTTTGATCATAGGTGCCTGCGTTCTATCTCCTGTGTGAAGTGGTATAATAAGGTGAGCAGTATTGAGGTTAGGCGTCTAGTGCTAGGCAAGAAGGGAAAATCAATCGACGAGGCTGTGAAATTACATCGACTGAGATGGTTAGGATATGTGTTACGCATACCTGCCTAGTCATCGCCTTCCTCGACGAGCAATGTTTGAGAATAGAGGGTCAGGTAGGAAAAGAGCCAGCGGCGGTCAAACCAAAACATGGAACCAGTCAATGAAATCTACAACAGTTAGTCTAAGCCATGTAGGAAGGTGTAGACTTCCTGGCTGGTTGGGGTCCTCGGGACGATAAAAAACCAATGTTTGGAAACAATTGGTGATATGACTCAAAATCGTTCTCAATGGCTGGCTGGCGCAGATGCATCCACTCCTTGTGACTTATGATTTCCAATGAAACTGTTTTGTTCTTCGTTACTACTATTCCTTTGTCTCACACCTCTGTTTACTGGCTCTATTAGGCTTTTGTTGTACTTTCTTCTGTTGCTTTGTGTGCTACATGGAGGGAGTGTGGCGACTTGAACTGCGGCACATATGTGCAAAGTTCTATGTCGAAAACAGACATACAGGCAGGTCAGACACGGACTTGTCATAGGAATATGTATGAAATTAATAAAGAGTTAAGAGGTAAGAAAATAGACCTAGGTCAAGTTAAAACGACGTATTGAGGGTCAAAATAACAATAAAGATCAGTTAACGAAATATCAGAAGTAATAGTTCATCTCCTATGGTATCAAAACAAAGTTTACCAGGGAAATTTTAATTTGGTGACAAATTGTTTTCGAACTCATTAAGTTTGTTTAAACTTCTTAATCACTAGGGCTCCCATAAACTTCAGGATATCCCCGAACACGTCTTACAGATAGACTTAGAAGAGGTATAAACATCAGTTTTTGCCCTGTATCTATAATATGTTTCTCCGTGGGAGACCTAGGTCGTCTGTTCCCACCATTGATGGGTTCTGAAGATTGTACTTGTTTCTGAAGCCACTTGGGATATGCTTTGAAGCCGTACTTGGAAAGATTGATGAGTCCTCCCTATGTATTTGTGACTACAGGTACGTTTAAATTGGTATGTGAAGTCATTTTTCGTACGTTCCGAGAACTTAAATGTATATACAAGTTTCACATTTTCAATCATTCTGTCTTAGCTCCAGGGTTCAAGCTTTGTCCAATTACCAAGGTACACTGATCGCCTATTTGGTGTAGCATGAAGTATACATCATTCTTAGAGGTGATTTGGCGATATAGGGTCTTGGTGTTCTGTCCGCTTTACATCTCTTAATGAACTTCCCTAGATATTCATAATCAACCAATGTTTGTGTCAGTTCCCTTTCCCCACTTTCAAGTGGTATTAAGGGGGTGCCTTATCGGCGCTCTTTTATAAAAACCAAAGTGCGTTTAGTCACTTATATGCATTAGCTCAACGATTTCAGCATCACAGGTTATACTTATAATCCTATTATAACCTAATCTCATTTGAGAGCATTCTCTTCAATATTAATGCTATTAATGCTAATCAAAATCAAGGACTTCATTACGGCTTTTTGCTTTTTAGGTATCTAATTCTTCGGAACAGAATGAGCTACGTGAACAAATGGAAGGTTTGTTAAATCGTCTACACAATCCTTGCATGATTACAATTGCCAGGTCGGCGTATGACGGTTACACGCCTTCTCATCAAGTGTCTAACATCCAACTTGGTTTGTTACAAATGCTTGATCGTGTTTATGGACGTAATTTGCTTTCAGTTACTTTGGATTATGAAAAGTAAGTCTTCTCGTTATTGTTTTTTAAACTTTAGTCTCTCTTTTTATATTAAATGTGATCAAATTCCTCCGGATGAGGTTATTCTCGTAAAGCTTGAGCTTCTGTTGGAAAATGATTTAGCGCATCACTAAACATCATCATCAGAGATATTCTATAGGGAAGTTGCTCTAAAGTTTGATGTTCTGCCTGTGATTGGAATTAAAAAATAAACCTGAAGAAGAAATCAGCGTGAACACCGGAATTCTGAATTGGAATTATTTGTTATCTACTCTTCTAATGAACAAATACGCATTTATATATATGTGCATATGTGGGATGAGGATATACGCTATCGCGAATCAAACTCGCCGCACTTTCGTTTCAGTTAAATGTGAAGATAGAACAGAGACGGTCAATTACTGTTTGGACTTCTTCAAGTAGTTGATTTCGTTTTACAGGCCCAGAAGAGTTCTGTAATCATATCAGATGTTACGTTTGACTGCTTTGAAGGTGTTCTATCAACATTTTTACGCAGCTAGAATACTTGTTATCACGTTTCCTATTCTGTGCGCGAAAACACCTCACGGTAGCCTTTATCCTCACTCATATATTTATCATTTGTGGAATTAAACGGAACTACAATCTGTGATTTTCCTAGAGGAAAAATTAGAGCATCAAATAGCGAATAAATTACTCAGGGGTATATCCACTAATTACAAACCGTATAGCTTTGCAACGATGGTCCTTTTAAATGATATTGTTTACTAAGGCTGTAAAATTGTATAACTAATAAGCTTCTTCACATTTAAGCCACTCACTGTTTTTGTGTTTTTCTTGAAATTGTTATGATTATATTTGCGTGATATTTCATAATGGTAAAAAGAAACTGCAATATATTCAGAAGTATATCGTAAAGGTTAGTGAAATTCAAGTACCACTTATTCCCTTAAGAGTATATGATGACTGTAAGAAACCATATTTTTCTCTACTTAGGCGGATTCAAACAATGTTCATATGATATGGGTATTAATTAAGAAATTTACCTAGTTCCTGAACGGTAATAACAGTGTAAAACAGAAAAAAAGTTATACGTAACTAGAAACACCTGAGAAGATTCATCTGGAAAGATTGATCAATGTTCAAGATTCTTGGACATCTCAGTTAATCATGTTACAACCGTAGCATAGAAAACAACCTAATAAACTGATTTTGAGTTGATAACTATGGTTTAAAGTGTAAATTACCAAGGCTTCTTTAATAATATTTTCAGATGTGAAGTTTCGAAAAAGTTTGGATTGAAATGTGTAAATGATTTTAAAAGCTGAGTGGCTCGTGATTTCTGCATGCTGGAAATTAGGTGGACTGGTCGATTTTTAATGCTCTTCACCAAGTGGTAAACAATAAATTTTGTTCAATAATTTGCATTTAAAGGAAAAAGTTAGCTGACGGACAAACACTAAACTAGTCAGTTGTGGCTACTTATCCTTCCCAGTGAGATATATTAAGAAGCAACTTCACTATTTTGTTCCGAGTTTCGTCACATGGAAACGTCTTATAAATTGATCATTCCGATTGATTTTAACCGAAAGATTCAATTGTAGAAGTTCGTCATCTGTTCACGACATGTAGGTTTTCTATTTATACAACGCTTCAGTGTGTCACTGTATGTTTTCTTTTGGAGAACATGTAGGCATTAACTTTTTAAGTTTGTTCCTCTTTCTCTTGTAAAACCTAGTAATGAATGATTCTTGTTAAAGTAGTTAAAAATTTTCTGTGTTTTATTTGTGTAGCTCAGAGAATGATGCAGATGAACTAAAAGCAATGGGATTTCACATCACAACACCAGAAGAATTTCATATGGGTGGTCGTCGTATATCACCAATTTCTTGCTTAGCAAGATCTGAAGGTAAAAGTGTAGTCTACCGTACAGAGCCTGGGAGCAAGGAGATTGTTTGATGTGAAACATTTAAATATATCTTGAAATAATTTCGTGAAACTCTGTTTTATTTTAACTAAAGCCTTTGACATCTGAAATCAGTGCATGACTGTTGTAATTTTACTTATGGCAAATTGAAGCGTTTTCTTAATACTTAGTGCTTGTAGTAGTCATGTTAGCAGCATTACAAGTGCATTTAATCAATCTGAAAGACAGGACAAAGTTAATTTTCTTAATTCACATCCTTGTTTCACCAATCAACTTCAAATAACTTTGAATTAATGACATGAAAGTGCTCAGTACTTCAGCTGTACACACTGATGTAACCAACTTAAGGGATCGCTATTGGATTTATGTGTTGTGAATGCTTGGTCGTAATCATATTAGATTAAGCATTATTTTAAATAGTTCTTCTATTTATTTAAAACATTTAGTTCCCTTTATGAATTTAGACAAAGTAATAAGAAGGCGTAATTTGTCTGAGTTGTGTAATGTATTTGCACAACACATTTCGAACAATCTGGTCAGACACGGACTTGTCATAGGAATATGTATGAAATTAATAAAGAGTTAAGAGGTAAGAAAATAGACCTAGGTCAAGTTAAAACGACGTATTGAGGGTCAAAATAACAATAAAGATCAGTTAACGAAATATCAGAAGTAATAGTTCATCTCCTATGGTATCAAAACAAAGTTTACCAGGGAAATTTTAATTTGGTGACAAATTGTTTTCGAACTCATTAAGTTTGTTTAAACTTCTTAATCACTAGGGCTCCCATAAACTTCAGGATATCCCCGAACACGTCTTACAGATAGACTTAGAAGAGGTATAAACATCAGTTTTTGCCCTGTATCTATAATATGTTTCTCCGTGGGAGACCTAGGTCGTCTGTTCCCACCATTGATGGGTTCTGAAGATTGTATTTGTTTCTGAAGCCACTTGGGGATATGCTTTGAAGCCGTTACTTGGAAAGATTGATGAGTCCTCCCTATGTATGTGTGACCACAATTACATTCAAATTGGTAAATACAATGGTATGTGACATCATTTTTCGCACGTTCAGAGGACTTGGTTGGATATATTGACTTTGCATTCTCAATTATTATGATATTAGCTGCATAAAAAGTCTTTTTGACAGCAGCATTCAATCTATTTTTAATGTTCATATGATAATAGTTAAAACAGTTTAATAACAACATACAAAATTGGGTACAGCACTAGTCGTTTGAACTCTGCAATGTGCAAGTGTTCCCATCTAGGTAGAATAGTCTTTTTAAATTGCCTAACAGGAGAAGTGAAAGCCCGCGTGTACTGACTATTCAGGGACCGAATTTCACATGACAATAAACCTGCCAATTCACAGTAATTGCAAACCAGTAGATGCTGTCATCTTGAACCTTTGGCATGAAAGAAGTTGGAAGTAATCTTAAATCTCACTACTAAGATGTCTAATCCATGGTAACAGTTAATAGCAGTGTGAGTTGTTCATATGCTGGGAAATTTGCTTTGCTAAGCTGTTGACTTCTATGTAAATTTTTCATTCCAATCAAAAACGATATAAATGAAGCAGACGAAAATTACATTGATATCAAATAGACGGTTTACCGTCCTACTTATCTAGGCGACTGGAGAGTGTATTAAAAGCAGTTAAAGAATCCTACTGGTTGCTATATGGTATTCAAATCATATTTGCCTTATTTATTGAAAATAGATTGTTTGACTAATTATTTAACGGCAAATAATTCCAGAAAAATATCTTGCCGCTTTTCCATTATCTAAAATTTAGTTCTTTGGCCTTCAGTTCTTAATTTGACTGGTTAAGCTAAAGGTAAACTTCCGAGCAATTGCATCATCTGCCATGCTGTTGTGTTACCATCAGTTGCGATCTCTAGCAAGCTAAGCACACACTCGGTACCACAGCATCAATCTCTAAACATATTTCGGAATTCAGATGATCCAATCAATTTGATTTGACTTAATAACAGCTTTCTATTCTACGCCAAGTACACTCGTGTCGGATGATAGTATACGTACATATAGTATCGTTGTATCCGCCTTGCTTGTATAGGTTATCTCTCAAAAAACCAGGAATTCAATCAAGGCTACAAGATGGAAATCTCGCGTTGCTTAGATGAAAAGTGCACTGCAAATGTATTAGGGGTTACAGCCCTGTAAAGTACCAGAATAAAGGTATTCGAAAATGACCCGTCAGGTGTAGGCATCTCAGCTGTCTATCTCCACTGGTCATTTGGGTTATACGGAAGATAGATGGTTCAGACATTAGAAGATTAACGTCACCAATTTGTAATAACAGATTCAGTAGTTTGTTCATCAAGCAAATCCAGTATAAATAATACGAAATATTCTGTAGAAGATATGTGCGACTATCTGTCATAAAAGTCGCAGTACTTTATTCGCTGAACAAGCAACGTAAAGTGGACATCTGTGTGTGCTGTTTCTACCGCTGCACGGTAGTGACTCTTGAGTATCTCTCCGGAAGGAACAAGATTGAACATTGTTAAATACTTCATCTGTAAAGGCTTTTGATTCTTTTACATTGTATCCTCTCGAGGCACAATCCTGGTTTCGGTGTTGAATATACGTCACTCCCTTCGGTTGGCATCTCGTAGTGTTTGATGGCGGTTGGAATGGGTTTGACGACCTTTTAGGGCATCTGGATGACATGGTTTCAATGGGCGGTGATAACGTTTTCTGCGGTCACTGCAGTTTCCGCGGAACAGAAGTAGTTGGAGGTCGATATTGGACGATCATATTGGGCCCTTCGCATGAGGCCTAAAATTCGGGACACCAGCTCCCGGGAACTTACAGTCAATGCAGCCCAACATAATCGCCAATTGAGTAGTTGGGTCTTTCGATCCGCCGGAACAAGCTGAGAGGCTGTATGTGGGTGAGTGCTAGAAGGTAGGTAACGTCTAGTTGGCTGCAGAAAACGTATGGAGTACAGTGAATTCTTTCATGGGCTGACATGGATGTTTTGATTTTGACCAGAGGGCGGAATTCGTGGTCAAACAGGGGAAAGCCCTGTTAACGAGTGTGCTGAGTAGTTGTGTGAGAACAAGCATTCAGGTGGGGCGTCGTCCCATATCTTTACTGTTGTGTGACGAAGAAAGTCAAGAAGTTTATTGTTCCTTCAGTCCGTCCTATCAAATCATCTCCTTAGGGATGGTATGACGTGGTACTAGTCTTCCGAATGTGGAAGGTGTTTAAGTTGTGGGCGATTGGAAGACATTCGAAAGCGGTGCCTTGGTCTGAATGTAAATAGAGAGGGGCACCAAAGTGAGACACCTATGTGTTAGTGAATGCTTGACAGGTAGTCACTGCACATTCCAGATGAAATGGTACAATTGTGAAGTAATCCACCATAGCTGGGATGTGTCGGTTGTCTCGCCCCGAAGGTGTGTGTGGTCCCATGATATCTGTGCCCACTTGGTGATTACGGACTACTGTTAGTACAGGCACTAAGGATCCCCGCGGTATTTGAGGAGGCTCCCTGATATGGACTTGTGTAGCACAGTTACGGGAGAACTGAATGACGAAGTGGTGGTCACCGAAATTGTTGATGGAGAGCACATTCATTTTTTTTTGTTGACTACCTTGACTCCGTTGATTGCGAACAAGGTGAATAATTTGCTGAACTCTTACACATGGAACTAGAAGACGAGATTATGTAGATGGCTCCACTATAAATAAAATGCCATCTACCAGCCAAAACACACTCCATTTAGTACAAATATACTGTATCGTATAGGGTGAATACCACAGTTCTCTGTTCTAAGGTTTATCATTCACACGAAGCTTGTGCGCGTAAATAGGCTGTCTATCAGTATCAGTTACTTATAATGGCTCCCAGCTGACATCTTCAGCTGTATTATGTCAGGTGACTGCTGCTCAAACAAGTTGGCAATGAAGAGAGGTCATCAGCGTTAGTATGTCGAGGTCCTCGGCGATACTCACGAGTGAATTCGAACTCTCGTAAGTGATTTTGCCGACGAGACACCTTGCCTGCTGACTCACAGAATGACTTCAGGAACTATGATAGACGATGGTCAGTGCGTAGTCGAAAGGAGAACCCAAGGATATAATGCCGAAAATGTTTGAGGAAATGCACGAGAGCGCCTCCCTTTATGCAGTCGAACACCGTGTCTCATGTCCGTCCGACTAACGATTGGCATATGCAAATGACACGCTGTTGAACACCACGTGTTTCTTGAGAGAAAACAGTCCCTGTGGCACTGACACTAACATCAGCCTCCATAATAAAAAACCAGCAGTTGGTGACGTGTTTGGAAACGTAAGGATGGGTGTTGACGACAGTTCCTCCTTTAACTCGTTAAACATATGTTGACACTCGCTAGTCAATAAATATTTACGGCCTTTTACTGTTAGGTATGCATAGCAGATGAAGGTGTGGTGAAACTAGGGACGAAGGCTACAAAGTACTCTACTAACCCAAAGAAGCTTCGAACCACATACACATCATTCTTATTCTGTTGATTGCACCCCCATGGACGTCAGCACGAGCGACTATGGTCCAAAAATATGAAAGTAGTCTGAATTGCTCCCTCCAGGCAATTTTCTTCGGCCAAAGTGTTTCAATGTCTCGTGCCTTGGTCGTAAAATCAAGTCGAATCAGGGTTCCACCAGTTTCGCTGGTGGAATTCGTGCTACAGGATTTGGCAGGGTCAACTCGTGCTTATACTCAGGCAATTGAGGATGTAGGCGTAGAGTTGATCGGGTTGGAATATAGTAAAGGACGTCTGTATGCGTCTCTTCCACATTGTGCAGTCTCATCTGAGTTAGAAGACGAGTGGAAAGTGGACACAGTGGCAAAAGCAGGTGCTGTTTCTCTGGAAATAGATTGGAAGGTTTGCCGTCTTATCGAAGATCCATCTTTTTTGAACAACTTTGAACTTTGACACTATTTTTGTAAATAACGAACAGCAACCGTGCAAGGAGGAAAAGCAGAGAATGACTCCCATCAGAGCGTGTATTATGTACAATACAAGAAATCAGACTACTCGGGTGTAATGCTTACTGAAAATCGGCCTTTCTCTCAAAATTGATATCAAGTTCTGAGATAAGTTGTGCCTCCCGCTCCATGGAATTTACTTATGGGGACTTTACTGGAAGCAAAAGTAGGACACAGTTTAAAGCTTTATGTAGAAACGTTTTTGTTTTGTTACGGAAGAACACATAGTTACTCGCTCCGTAGTAAGCTCAAGGAGATATATTTAAATAAGTCAGAGGCTGATTTTGAAATATTCTATAGGATTTGTACGCAGATATTATGACACCGAACGCAACGAACAGTTCAACTAAAATAATGGAATCGAATATTCCTTCTGGGCATCTTTCGCTTCGCTTAGCAATACAAGAATCGAAATGTAAAGGCCGTTAGAA